TTCTGCATAAAATATGAAAATATCATTTCCACCCTAGCAGCATCTCCTTTATGAATGAACAAACAAACATTTAAGTGATTTCTTTCAGGAACAAAGCTTATTCAAAGTTGGCTGGGAAATTACAATACCTAAAGACATTAAGATGTGAAGGTTAGGATCTAGCTCATCACTCCTCCTTAGTCTTCTGCTACAACTACATCTATCTTTTCATTAAGTATTAATATCCTCCAAAGCTCTGTCCAGGGACATCTTGTCTACTCCTTCTTAACATTCTTGTTGATCCCTTCAGCTCTCATGGGTTGAATTAGCTCTATGCAGATTACTCTCAAATCTATATATCCAACTTTCATCTCTCCTGAATTCTAGTCCCATCACAACAACTGCCTGCTGCACATTTCCACACAACATTCACGTCAGTATCTTAGACTCAACTCATCCAGAATTAAACTTACTCTATTTCTTGAAAACTCATCCTTCCCCCATACTTTTGTTTTTCAGTTGAGGATTCTATACTTCCAATTACACAGGTTCACAACTTTGGATTCATCCTTAACCTTTCCCTTTCCCCTACCTCACAGATCCAATCAATTTCCATTTCTTATTGATTCTATTTCTATAACATTTCTTTTATCCTGGCCTTTTCTCCTGAGACTCACATAGTCACTATGCTAGTCCATGCCCTCATAACTCCTTGCCTATAAGACTACAATAGCCTCTTAATTGTCCTCGATGCTCCTAGTCTCACTTTGTCTCCAAAACATCCTCCATACAACAGTCAAATTACTGTTCCTAATAGAGAGATCTGAGAATGTCATTTGTCCACTCAAAAATTCACTAGTTCCCTCTTTCTAATGTAAAAACATAAATTATTTGCCTGTAATATAAAGATTCCCACCATCTGATTCCCACTAAACTTCAAGATATTTCATATTAGTTTCTGTCATACAATCTACATTCAAGCCAAACTGGAATAGAAGTTGGTTCTGAATGTGGCATGCTGTGTCTCATCTCCAGGACTTTGAACAAGCTGTTTCTCATGCCTGAAATATACTTCTTTCTCACTTTTGCTCTTAAAATGCTCAGCTTCCTTCAACTCTCAGGCTGCTTGTTACTTCCTACATGAAAACCCAAAGTTATTAGTGATTTCTCTCTTTTTATCTTTTATTTACTCATTTGAGCATATAATAAATGTTTATATTCAAAGCATATTATTCTCAGATTTTTTTTTTGGTGGGGGAAGCTTTGCGTCATCCTTTCTTACAAGAATGAAATTGCAGGTTGGACAAAAGACAACAGAAGGAAAACTTTAAAAAAATACATTTAGACAGAATATGGTGATGTTTTTAAAGAGATTAAAACAAGTTTCATTGTAATATTTTTAGTGTTCATAGGCTGTCATTTCTGAGTAACTCATATGAGATATAACTATAAAGTAGTAATATTATTTGTGTCTTTTTAAACATACCAAACTTAAACATCTAAATAACTCTTATCTATAGGCATTGTTTGTAATTCAATGGGGTTACTCTTGCTCAGAAGTATTTTTTTTTAATTTCTCTATTGGAAATGTCCTTATATTCAATTTATAAATCATTTGTTTTTGTAAGGAAAAAAAGGGGTGGAGGGGACCTGTGATTTCATGATATGATTTCTAATGAGTAAACTATATCTTAACAATGCAGATCACCAACTGTTTTAAATCTTAGAGTGTAACTTGGGGTATAGAGATGCTAAGGATTTTTAACAGTAACATGGGCAGCATGTTTTGGAAGTATCAACAAGTTCGGTTTTTTTGGACGAGACTTGTGATTTTATTGGTTTAGGAAACTCCTATTAAAAAATTCAATGCTGTTTAATGAGATTTACAATGTGCTTTGCAAACTTTGAAGTACTATGTAAATGGTAGCTATTAATATCATTGTTATTATTGACTGCATCTATTGGTAGATGTCTCCTCTGTTAGACTGGAGGCTCACTGAGGGAAGGGATGTCTCTCTTTTGTCCTTGCATCTTCAGCACCAGGAACATAGTAGGTCCTTAAAAAATGTTTCTCCCTCCCGCCCCCATTCATAGATTCGGTCATTCACTTTTCTTATCTGTGGAATGGTTGTAATAATCCTTGCAATTCTTACCTAAGGGGGTTTTTGTGAGGTTGAAATGAAATAACATATGTATAAGGTGCTCCTCTGACTTTAAAGCTCTTTGTAAATAAATGTCAGCTTTTGTTACTACATTTAAAAAAATTCAATGCTGATTAGATATCTTCTCTGCAGTTTATAGTCTTAGAGGTTTTCCTGGGAGGAGAGTTTAAACAACTTGCTGAGGCTCACATAGCTAGTGTAATTCAGAGGCAGAATTTAAATTCCAATCAGTCTTCCATTATGATTGACTACGTTTATAATATACTATGCTACTTCATGGTTATAATGAATGTGAGGAAAAAAAAACATAGCATAACATAATGTCCATTGACATGTGCCTATTAAGTACAGTCAGATTTTAACCTGAATTGATGCAAAGAATTTCCATATCAAAGAAATAATAGATTCTTAGGTACAAAGAAAAACAAGCAAATGAATACAATTTTAGGTCCTGGTCTTCTTTTGTTAAATATATAATCATTTCTCCAAATTCTGACCTTCTGGAATTAGCACACTTTTGTCAATCATTGAAGTAGTTTAGGCTGTCATCACTTTTTGTTTGGACTATTGCAATAGTTCCCAAATTAGTCTCTTTGTCCCAAATATTTTCCCATTCCAATTCATCCTCCAGACAACTGTTAAGGTGTTTTTCCTGAAGTACAAGTCTGACCATATCCCTCTTCTAATCATTAAACTCCAGTGGTTCCCTATCACTTCCAATATCAAACATAAACTTCTCTGTTTGGCCTTCAAATGTCTTCACAGTAGGAACCTAACTTAGCTTTCCCTCACTGCCCCTTTGGAGATCAGAGAGTTGTTTGTACATGTCAAGATAAGCAATAAAAAAAAAGAGCTCTAAGACACAAAGATTTCCTCTTGAATATCTTAACATAGTTCAATCTCAGAAGAAAGTTAAATGACATGTTCTGAAGTTGAGTGAGGTGCAATGAGGGCTCCTCTCTCACAAATCCCCCAAAGTATACTAAATTTGTAGAACCCTCTGGTGCTATTCTTCCGTGTTGTAGCTCATTACATACTTTAAGACAACACTCATGTCTCTCAAAGACTTTTACTAAACAAGTATTCTCAGTTCCTTTAATCAATCCTTGTGTGTCATCATCTTGATGCCCATCAGTGCCCTAGTCATCCTCTGTTGGACAGGTTTCTATTCATTATTGTACTTCTTAGTTAGAGTGCCCAACACTGAACACAATATTACAGACACTGTCTGAACAAGACAGAACACAGTGGGTCTATCACTTCCTATGTTCCTTCTATTAATGAAGTCTGAGATGTCTATACAAGTTGTGAGGAAGGTGCTGATTCACATTAATAGATGGAGTGATTCACTGGAAATTTGCCTAAACCAATGAAATCACAAATCTGTTCAAAAGAAAATGATCCAATTAGCTTTTGTGGTTGCCAATTCACATTGCATTTCCTCACCCTCTACTTATCAGAATCCTTGGTTTCCTTCCAAGCTCAGATAAGGTTCAACCTCTTCCACATAACCTTTCTAAATGTCCTCAGTTGAGTCTCCCTTTTCTCAATGATCTTGAATCATTATTTGCATACATGTAGTATTCATTTCCCTTTCCCCTCCTGCAACATTCTTTAAAGGCTAAGATGTTCATTAGTATTTTATCCCCATTGCTTACACAGGGTTTTGCTTAAGGCTTGTTGAATTGAATAGAAAAATATTAAACTTGCAATCTATTAAAAACTGAACTATTTTTATGTGAAATACAATCTAGCCTTGTCTTAATTGTCATTGCAAAACTGATTTTTTGAACCTGTTTATTCCTATTAAATTTATTTTTATTCTTATTTATTTTCTTTTATTCTTATTCCTATTATATTTAATCTGAATGGATTTAATCTGATGGTCAATTAAGTCCAGTGTTTTCAAGATTTATTTCTCTCATTTAACATGTTAATTACAAATTTAATAAACATGACATCTGAGTCCTTAACCAAGTCACTAATAAAAATAGTGCTAAGCATAGGGCCAGGACAGATCTTTGAAGAACTTAACTGGAGACTCTCAGTGGATAGCCTGCCACCCCTATCCCCATTCATAATTAGTCTTTTTCTGGGCATTAAGCCAATTGCAAACTCAAATAACTGAACAATCATGTAGTCCACAATTCTCTATTTTATCCCTAAATCTAATAGGAGGGACTTTGTCCAGTGTTTTATCATGCTAGGTAAATTCTACCTTCAGAATTCCTGTGATTTACACATCTTGTAACCCTGTTAAACAAAGAAATTACATGAACCTCACATGACCTGTTTTTGAGGTGACATCCTCTTTTTGTGATCATTGCTTTTGTTTCTAGATATACCATAATTTCTCTTTGATGATACATTACAATGTTTTGCTAGGAATGAAAGAAGGTTTTCCTAGCTTATGCATTGTAGCCTCCACACTGTTTCCATTAAAAAAAGGGATTTACTATTTGCTTTTTCTGCAGCACCCCTCTTGGTTTCTATGATCTTCTGAAGATCAAGAACAATCATTAAGCCTATCAATAAAAGAAAGCACTGGCCTTTTTAGATATAATGAGCACTTGAATTTTAAATGTAACCAAAGGGATTGCAGACCCCCAGAGATAATTCTCTTCCCCAGAAGAATGCCAATCTTTCCACTTTAGTACAAAACAGACATCATGGCATTTACCCTCTGAGCACATGGAGAAGTGATGACCCCAGGTAGTTAAATAACTCAGTGTTTTCTTAGAGTGAAAGTTCTATTGATACATAGTGACTTTTTTTAACTGTTTCACCCTTGACAGTTTAAAAGGTGAACATTTTTAAGTCAAAAGTAAATTGAATGAATGATGGACCAAACTGTGTGAATACAATTAAATCAAAACATTTATCACAAAGTAGAAAATGATCAAATCCTGCAGATTGAGGCTGAGCATTTGTTCTAGTCGTCATTTCCAAACAGTGGTAAGATATAGCTGATGGCATTGTCCTTCGTTATTTCTGTAGCTGAATTCATAAGGAAATAACATAACCAAAAGTAAAAATTAGTAAGTGAATGAAAATATTCAGCCTGAATAACCAAAGAATATGTATAGAATAATGGTGCTATGAAAATTCTTTGATGGTGCATTTTTTAAAAAGAATATGAATAAGTTTTGGAGGGACAAAAGACTGAATTGTTTATCAGTGATGGATCTGTTTAGCTTAATGAGACATCCTAAACTCTAGGGGAAATTTCTATAAGAACAGATTCTCAAATGATAACGTAAACTTTGGCAGAAAACAGATAGCTTTTTGTTTCTTTGTTTTTATACCTGCTCTATACCATTGTTACTCTAACTGGGTGTCAACATATTGATATAGAGCTAAGGAACATCTGAAAACAGCCCAGAGAAAATTGTTGTCAATTGCCTTATTCTCTTCAGTCTGTATAGTGTTTCCTCTCCTTTTCCCCTTATGGCCCCATTGCAACAACTCAATTCCCTGCAGAGGTTTTTCAGAGTTTAATAAACACAATTGAAAATCTGCACACAGTTGGTGGTTCATCTGTCCCTGAAAGATTTTTAAACTATTTTTTAATTCTCATTATATAATAACCCCACTAGGAACCAAACAGTGTAAATATTTTATTTCATATAAAAATGTCCTTAGAAGAGTATAAAGAATGCTAGTTTGAAGTGATATCTTTAGGTAACATAGATGGAAGGAGCCATAATCTCTTCAAGACCCAAGTTAAACCATTTTAACTGTTTCTGACAAAGTGAAAAGAGATTTTTATTCAATTGCTAAGTAAAAATTGATATATATATGTGAGCATACATATACATATATATGTTATGAAATTATGTTATAAAACCCAGATCATATCTTCCGACAATGAGGATTTGTTAAAGCTAATTTTTTTTGATGGTGGTGGTGGGATATGGGGAAGGTTGTCAATCTCTTTTCCTAGAGATTATGAAAAGCAGATCAAGCAATAATCTCCTTTGGATGGTTCTGCTGTGGTATTCTTAGAAGTGAATTGTGTGGGTTTCTCATCTTTACATTCTGATGATAACATTAAAAGGTTACATTAATAAGAATATCCAAAAATAAGAATAGAACTCACATCAGAAAAGCCCAGGATTAGTGTAGAACTTACCACAGTGAAAAATTCTTTATATACATCTGGGATAATTGATTTTCCCTTCTATGCAACTTGCTCTAAATGGAGGTGAATTTGAAGCTTTACGAAATCCCCTTTTACATCTAAATTCCACTTCTTGTCCTGTTCTTGAATAAACTTTTTCAGAGTCTCGCCATCTAAGTTCTATGTTATGTTTCATCATTATGTCATTTGATGTTGTGCATGCCTCTGAAAGATGAAAAGAATATATATTACAAATGATAATATGTGTATACAACCTTACATTTTCCAAAATAACTGGGAATATAAAAGGCATTTCTGCAGTGATAATGTAAGTCATTTTCTTCTCTTTTATTCATAATGCTAAATAATATGAAATTAAATTCTGAATGATAACACATGATCAGAGCTTAACCAGTCTGTGTGATGGGCTTTTTCTCTGCCCCCCACATCTAAAAGAAGATGTGCTTCCTGTCCACATTAGTTATCTCTTTATTTTTCAGTCTATACCCAAATTAGGGTTGGAGAAAAAGGTAGGGCATAAAAGAGAGTAAGGGAGCAGGGTTGTAGGTAATTCTGTTGTTCTTTAGTGACTTAAGTCATGTCCAACTCTTTGTGATCCCATTTGAGGTTTTCTTGGCAAAGACACTGGAGTTGTTTGCCATTTCCTTCTCCAGTTCATTTTACAGATGATGAAGATGAAGCAAACAAGGTTAGGATAAGTGACTTGCCCATGGTTACACAGATAGTAAGTATCTGAGTCTGGATTGAACTCACGTCTTTTTGACTCTAGGATCAGAGCTCTATCCACTATATCACCTAGCTGCCCATGTTGTAGATAAGGTACTTAATAAATGTTGATTGATTGATGGATTGAGAATAAGTATGGGAAAGCAGAAAAGGCAACAGTCCACCCTCTCTTGTTTCAGACTTTCTTTCTTAGAACTTACCTACCTGTGTTTCATCCTCACTCCAGATCTCACCAAATTGAACGCACCCCAGCTTCTAGAATTCTTTATTATTGTTTTGCAGCATCTACTTTAAGATCATTCTCTCTGATTTAGATGTTTCCATTCTCACATACGTTGTTTATTCCGTACTCTCACATTTATTCAGATAGCTTTGAACCAGGTAACTGTATACCTAAATAAATTGTGGCACCATTCTGGCATCTTTATTCCTAAATACATTTTACTCCTTTTGAGTAACTGGATCTGATAGGATTTCCAGGAGGTGATTATGCTATGGTTCTTTCTTTTTTAGGAATATAAGACTATTTGTATCTTGATGGCTTACTGGAATGGACATTTTCCAAGGATCGGGATCTTGTTAACTCTGGGGCAACTTCAAGCAGGCAAATGTTCCCTGTAAGTAATTGGGTTTTGCCTGGTGGATACTACTGGAAGCTATGCTGCTAATGTGTAGTGTAATTCCTTCCCAGAGAATCTTCTGCTTATTATTTCAAATGTTCATGCCTTAGTCTCTCAGGGAAAATTCTGAATTTGGCAATAAGGGAAGGGAAAAATGAAAGGAATCAGTAAGAACAAAGAAAAGTTACAGATGATAGGAGCATATATTTAGAAAACTGAAGAGACTCAAAAAATAAATAGTAGCCAGAAATAAGAAAAAAGCCTACAACATCACAAGCATTTTCTTGCATGTTTGTTCTTCATTCTTAAAGAGGACCATGACATCAGTGAGTTGATGACATGACTTGCAATTGACTTTGATTTGAGTGAGGGAGGGCTGTGCAAGGTCACTTTCTTCTCCAGAACCATCTGGGTCCAGTGGCAAGATAGAGATCAGGAAGACTGAAGATGGCACCAGATGCAGTGGGAGACCTTGGCCTTTTTAAGCTAAGGTCTTCTCAAGTTCTCACTTTGATTAAGGTAATCATGATTCAGTGAACAGGCCTCTTTAAGGAGTGAGTCAAGGAATGGTCCCTTTAATAATTTTTAAAAAATGGAACTGGGAGGGGAAGACCCTTAGGGTTGCTCATCAAAAGAGAACCAGTTTTTCTTTCCATTCACTCTGAGCCTTTCATTTTTCAGCCCAGCATTATCTAGATTACTAATGAAACAAGACAAAATTGAGAAAAAGAGAAGTAATATTGATTAAAACTTCAAAATGTTTCATGTATTTAGAATTAAATTTCTAAGATACACATAAATCTTATATGTACAATCATCATTAAGAATTACATAATAATTATGCATATAAATGGTTATGAAAAATAAAGATAGCAAAATTAACAGTAAGTCATATTAAGATTTATTATAACACCAATCAAAATATTAAGGAGCTATTTCAAATGATTAAACAAAATGACAAAAAATTCTCTAGAAAAACAAGTGAAGAATGTCAACTGGGATTATGAAAAAAAGAAGAACAATTGTATCATTGAGAAGATTGTATGATTATAATGAAAGATATCATTATATGGCAAATAAGTAATTTCCTAAAATCATTTAGAACTGGATAAGAACAGAAAACTGATATGTGGGACAGGATTGCTCATCTACAATTAGAGATATATGACAATTTCATTTTTTTTAGGAAAAGTTACATAATGTAACTATGAAAAATTGTATCAGAAACAGAAACCATATGCCATACTCTGAACCAGGTGTATAAATATCACCTAGGTCTAATGTCTTCAATAAACTTTTTATCTCTTTTACTTGAGGTTAGGTCCTTACAAAATCTCCCATAAAATTATCAGCATTTTACTATATAATGTCCATGCTGATTCCTAAATAATCAATGGAAAAAGAGAATTCAGAGGTAATAGAATCTTAGCTGGAATGAACCTCAGAAGAAATATCGATTCTCAGCTAAATATGTGCAATAATTTTCTACCTAACAGCTTTGTGGAGTGGTCATCTAGCTTCCTCAGGAAGTGACTGTTCTAAAGTCTGTCTTTTTTGGGACAAGAAAATCAATAGTGAAAATGAAATACAAATCAGTCAATTTTGCATTTCGAAAGTACATAGCAAAGTACATTAAAGTTATAGCAAGTATTATACACGTAGGGCTATGTAAAAGTTAAAATGTGTAGAAAATGGTGTAAGGGTGAGTTAATTTGTTTTATTTTCTAATACGGAAAAAAAGGAGGAGTTCTCCTTGAGTCTATGGGGAAGGAAACACATGATTTCTTTTTCTCTTAAATTATTAGTCCCAGCAACCAGGGCACGATCAAATTAGAGTGAAAAGCCTGAGCTATACATTTAGTCATGGGATAACAAAAAGAATTCTTAGATGGGTGAATGGCAGGGCTTAGTACATTGGAGACATTGGTCACGGCAACAAGCATTGGTATTAGTCAAGCTCTTCTTTGAGGTTTACTACTGAAGTATATTTTGTTTATTGAGATTTACTCCCCTATCATACTATCCTGTGACATTTTAGCTGTAAACACCAACTGATCATATCCATCACTGAGGACATTTTCCTTATGTACCGAATCTATTTAGCACATACCTAGGCATGTTGGTTCCTTTGTCCAGAATCCATTTTTGCATGTCACAAATTGGGAACCCTGTAGTACATAAAATTTTTGACATTTGTACTCCACTCTTGACTCTGGAGCATATTCAGATAATGGGAAGGAGAGGATGTCTCCATTATCTATAGGTGGAGGTGGTCCACATTTTCCTACTTCCTCTGAGGAAGGGAGAAAGAATTTTACTTGGTGAAAAAGATAATACAGATAGGAGATTGAATTAAAACAGAAACTATTAATTTTATAACTGTCCCCTCTCCTTCAGTTTCTCAAGGTACTGAACCCTGTTATGCATTTGTTCAAATTCTAACTTGCATCATAGTGATTTGTGTATATGGCTCACCCTCCATCCATACACAGATTTTCCACCCTCCACTTCCACAAGTCCCACCACCTCAATTCCACTATACTACTTTACTCTCATCTTTTGTAAAGGGCTTATGGAGTCTGTTTATCAAACAGTCAGTAAGTATTAATTCAATACCTTCTATATGCAAGGCACTGTGCTATGTGCAATGCTGGGTAAAAGAATAAATAGGGCCAGTAGCCAGAGGAAAGAATCCAAGAGGATAAGCATTCTTCTTGGTAATAAGGACTAATGGAGTAGCTAGTTGGCAGAATGGATAGAGTGTCAGGCCTGGAGTCAGGACGATCTGAGTTTAAATATGGCCTCAGCTAATAAATTCAGGAATTTGAAACAGAGTGAAGTGAGTGAGATGAAGAGTAAAAAATTGGAGCAGCTCTACATAGGGGCTTTTGCAACACCACTAAATCCTCTCAGGAATTTTTCTCAGGAATAATATTAGATGGTAATAGTGTAAATTTGGGTCCTAAATACTAGTTCATATGTTTTACTTTGTTTTGTTTTGTTTTTACAAAAATCAGTGTCTGCTTTGCTGCCCCTCCAACTTGATGAAGAAAATAATAGTTGGCTTAGGTAATGGAAGTCCAAATAGTGGTAGACTGGTAGAGCTAATTTTTTAACATATATAGCTTGGTTCTATATCTAAAATCAAGTAAGCACACTCAGCTTCTCTGCCAACTATTTACTCAATAGCAATACAGTTTTCATTATATTCTAGAAAAAAAGGGGTAGAGGAGAGGAAAGAGTATTTGCAGTGCTTCTTTTTTCACCGGGGTCCTATGAACACTGGCTGCCAATGTCTTGCTACTATGTGTAATGAATGTCCTAGAGAATGTGGAAGAAATAAGAAGCTGCTGCTGATTTGTCTTATAGGTTAATCATTGCCAGACTCTTCCATCTTCTCTGTGTTCAACATTTTAGGTAGTTTACATCTTATTCCAGCACACAGAATTGCACTATACAAAAGAAAAGCCAATCCAAAAAAGACAGGTGCCCAAAATCACACTGTCTCATCAAGACGGGGGAAAAGTCCATTTGCTTCACAAATTCCCTCTTCTTCCTTCCAAGACATTCAGCTCTGTGATGAGCATTTTCATAAGATGACCAAGAAAAATTTCAGGCCAGAAATTCGGATTTGCTTTGTTTTCATCTATTCTCTTCCAGAAGTTGGAAGAAAGGCTGATAATATTCAGGGTTATCACTTTGAGCTGCTCTTGTGCTTTCTCCACAGGATCAAATATAAAATCTTTTTGGTGTTCAAGACATTCATAACATTCTCTCTCTCCCCAAACACCTTTACAGTCTTTTTGCTTTACCCCCATACACTCTCTGGTTCAGTGACACTGATTTCCTTACTGTTTTTTTAATAATAAATTTTTATCTTACCAAATATTTCTCAGTTATATGTAATTTTTTTAACATTCATTTTTTAAAATTTTGAGTTCCAAATTATTTGCCTCCCTTCCTCCCTTGCAGTTATTTTAAATGAAGTTTCTCTTTCTATCTCTTGCCACTGGCCTTTGTTGGTAATATATAGAAATGCTGATGATTTATTTGGGCTTATTTTATATCCTACAACTTTACTGAAGGTGCTGTTTCAATGAGATTTTTCATCGATTCTCTAGTGTTCCCTAAGGATACCATCATGTTGTCTTCTAGTTTATTCCTATTACAGATAATTTGCACTGATGGTTTTAGATAGCAATTACTTCACTGCTTCCTTCACTTGAGTTCTTTAAACTCTCACCTTCAATAAGCAGCCTTTCCTTCCTTTTGCCATTGTCAATTTATCCTGTATAGATCTTGTTTTTACATAGTTGTTTACATCTTGTGTCCCCCATTAGGCTGTGAGCTCCTTGATAGCAGGGACTATCTTTTGCCTTTCTTTGTAATGCTTAGAATAGTGCCTGGCACATCATAGGCACTTAATAAATGTTGATTGACTGATTGACTGCTCATCAGCTGTTGCCTTTCTTATGTTCAGGTTTTAAAGTCTTTTAGAAATTTGGGAAAGGAACCCAAAACATGATTAATGATTACAAAATATTTAACAGATTCCATGGGGAGATAAAAAGTGCATATGAGTCAAAGTTCAAAGATGTATAAGTGGATTATTCTTCATTTATCTATTATATTTATCAATAACATCTGTAGCCTTTCTCTGTTTTCATTTGTTATCTGTGAATTGAGAATACAGGTTCTGCTTGCTCCATAGGTATCATGGGGGTTGAATGAGAGAATATATCTCAAAGTGTTATGAAGAGAACAAAAGCTATGGGGAAGGTAACCTGTGCAAAGTAAAAGAGGTAATAAAAAAAAAGTAGAAGCTACTGGCTTCTGCAATATGAGATAGAGAATTAAAAGTATGAAAAGAAAAGGTATGGCTCGGGTAGGAAAAGTGATTTTCAAAAATGATAAATGATTAATTTAAAAAAATCATTAATCAGTCTCATTTCTCCATAGTCTCCATAGTCATGACTTGTTAGCAAGAGAGATGAGAATGAGAGAGTCATGACCTTCCTTTATAACCTACAATTGGAAAAAAGTTTTTTCATATATCTCTACTTGGTAGGATAGCAAATTAGTGACTTTTAGGGGAGCACACTAAACCTCTAGACTGGTGATTGTTAACTATGGCCCTCAGTATAAAATGAAGCTGCTAAAGAATTCCATGGTCACTGTGATAAAAAAATATTTCTTGCTCCCAAAGAGCCCAAATACAGCTCTGTCCTAATAAATTTATAAGATGTCGTCTTGCAAAAAGAAAGTTTATATTCTCTGACTAAACCTTTTTAAATATTTATCTCGCGTAAGGCCACTCAGGGCCCTCTCACTGAAGGGCCTTTGTCAGGATACTTCTATTTCTGTTTTTCAAATGTTACTAAGCTTTTTTAAAAATATATTTGTTGGTATTCTTTCGTACTGATGTGATATCACCCTAATCCTTGGCCCCTTCTCTCAGCTCCACCTGTCCAACTCCTTTGTCCTTTTCCATCAAGGCCCACAATAAATGCCACCTTCTCTAATAAATGCTCACCTAATTCTCTTCTCTATGAGTAATTTCTTCCTGCTCTTGAGAAACAGAAAACTTTATCTCCATCATTATTCTTTAATATTTTACCATGTATTATAATTAGGGATGTCTAGACCATTTGAACTCAAAAAGACTTTAAAGGAATCAAGTCTAACCTTCTCATTATATAAAAAATGAAGAAATTGAGGACCAAAGAGGTGAAGTGAGTTCCCAAAGAAACAAAGTCCATGGTAGATCCAAACAAAAGTCCACCATGCCACAGCAGCCTTCTCACCCTGGACTTTCATTCTTCCCTATGGCCTTTTCATTTTCAAGACCGCTCTGCATTTTTTTTCTCTGATTGGTCAGTTCCTCTCAGAACCTCCATTTTAAAGCAAGTACCCAGACCAGTCATATTTATTCCTTTATTCCTCTTGGAGCTCAATTCCTGATTCTCTATCCTTTTTCCATTCCCTTTTTTCCATTCCCCATTTCAATCTCTATTTTTCCTCTTCCTTTCATGTGTTAGTGTTCCCCCATTAGAATGCAGTCTCCTTGAAGGCAGGGATTGTCTTTCTTTTTTATTGGATTTGTACTACTACTGCTTCGTCCATTTCTGGGCACAAAATAACTGCTCCTACTGCCTTTTCATCGCTATCTTATTACTAAGCGCTTTAAAAATAGTGACAATTAACTTATTCTTTGTATTCTCATACCAAAAAGTCACTCAATACTTATGCGTTGAAGGTTGTTTAGTTAAATATCCCTCAATTGTGGGTCCATTCTCACAAAAGGATCTAGTTTTGACTTTTAATTGCTGTTTTTAAACCAATATTTACAAGGAACCTGTAAACTCTTTGAAATTGTTGTTACAAATTGTGTACTTTTTTATCCCCCTGGTACTTTTCTTCATTTATTCATAGCAAAATTTGTTACTATACCTTTGCATTGAGGAAGTTCTGACCATGTCTTATTTATACAAATTACATCTGGTTTTCCATACATTTTAAGAGGTCGAACACACTTGTAACTCACTGTGTCACCAGGCTGATATCGTGACTTTGTAAAACTAATAATTTCAGCATTTTGAATTTGAGGTGCATATCCACAAGAGTTATCTAAAAAGAATCAAACAAATACATCTCTAGTCAGTTTTGAAATGGATTATTAGTCATGAAATTCTTTGGATGAGGGAATGAAGTTTCCCATATTATTGAAATAGATGGAGAGTTTTGAAGGCAAAGAGAAAACCCTGGAGCTGCAATTAAAACCTATAAAATATTAAGCAAAATAAATGAACAATGAACTAGAAGGTATCTGTATAGTAGGTGTATCCTTTATAGAAGGTTTATAGAAAGATATAGATAAGAATCATATAAAATGTGAGAAATCTAGGAATGATTACAATATGCATTTATTGATTTTAGGTCCAATGAAATACTAGAGATAGAGTATGGAATGTATTAAGGAAAAGTTGACAACATCATCAAAAGAGACCTGTTTTTGAATTTAGAGATTCAAAGTCACTCTCCAGCACTGTACCAATGTGTTGACCAGAATCAAACCTATAGCACTTTATCTTTCCTCCATCATACTTCTTCTTTTTATGAAGCAAAAGTTCTATCTTATTTTCCATGAACAGTGAATTTGTGAAATTTTCTATGTATTTCCATATAATTATTAATACATTAAAAATTTTCAATAATTAACCACAAAGTGTTTATTAAATACTTATAATTACTCCAAAATGTCCAATTGAATCTGGCATTTTAAAAATAAGCTTTTACATTCAGACCTTTTTTTTTAATGGAAAAGATATTGAGCTGGGAGTCTTAGGTATCAGGAATCTAGTGGTTAGCACAGTTTGTTACTCCCAAAGTAGTGATTTTAAAGAAGTCATTCAACTTTTTAGGGTCATCTCCAAATGATGGACATTTCACCTACATACTGGCCGCACGCCGACCTTCTGCCGGCCGCACGCCGGTACCCACTCCTCCTATAAGGAGCACACTACCAGAGTCTTACTCACACTCGAGTCTTCGGTACTCTGCCAGATAACCACACAGAGACGAGCCATCGGGAGGTGCCAACACCAGAGCTTTATTCAGAGGCCAACACAGCAAGCCATCATAGCAAGCCCAAGCAGCAAGGCCAGAGCAACAGGGCAGGAGCCAGGAGAGAGCGCGCGTGTTCTGACCACGCTTGTTCCTAAATACCTACCTAGCCCCTCCTCCCCAGCCCGCTTACTAGCCAATGATTGTAGGGTCAGATACCAGAAGGGGCTGTCTGAATTTAGCACACCAAGGGGGAGGAAGTGACGTAGGAGGCTAGGACCGGATACAGGGAGGAGGCATCTGGGATTGGCGCATAGACAAGAGTACGTGACCTAGGAAGTCAGACTCAGGAGGGGTCTGGGTCAGTGCTGCACAAAGGGACCCAGGAAGTCAGGAAGGTCACAAGAGGCGTCTGGGGATGACGTTGCATATAGGGAGGGGACTAAGCAAAGGGAACTCAGTCCTATGCCGTCCCACTCCCACATGGCACCGCCCCTTGCCTCAGGAGCTCAAGCTCCGGCTACTTCCTTGTACCCAGCTTATCTCACAGTACTGCCCACTGCCTCAAGCTTCTCCGTATCCAGCCCATCCCAGTTCACCACGACTCTGCCTACCACAGCCCCTGCCTCAACTTCCAAAATGCCCAGATCTTACCCTACCCTTGCCACAGCGCCCAACCTGGTATCTGCCAACATCAGACAGTCCCTCACACACCTACCTTTGATTAGAAGACAGAAAAGCACAGACACTGTTGCAAACTGCCAATATCTGAGAAGTAGAGAAAGGAGAGGAAGGAAACATAGGAAGAGGATAGAATTCCTCATTTCATCAGAAGCTCTTTTTGCAGATCAAAGCTATTTAAAATTATTTTTAGAGTACAGGCAAGAATCTACTAATTACCAATAAAGCAGACTTATTCAAATATCATTAAATAGAGCAAGAAGATGCACCCCAAAACTTATGTTTAGATATCTAGAGAATAGAATCCACTAGGGCTAAACAAACTGCTCACTACAGCAAGCAGAAAAATATTTCTTATCTATCTTATCCAAGATGGATAGATAGATAGATAGATAGATAGATAGATATTGTTTCTTACCCATACTCTAAGGAACATATATTAAAAGATATATAAGTATATATACATATCACATATATGTATATATGCTTGAATTTTTTATTGATATCCATAGATATATAGGTACATATCTGATTTATATCATATTGCATCTGTACAGTGTAAATGGAAGTCAATTTCAGGGGAAAATCACTTTGGTGGAAGGGGGAAGTACTGATTGGAGTTGCAAGAGACTTGAATCAGAGCAACTAATTTGAAAGCTGTTGAAATAATCCAAGCATGAAGTAATGAAGATCCAACAGTATGGCAGCTGTGTGAGTGGAGAAAAAAAAGAAGGTACATAAGAAATACAATGAATGAAAGAGAATGAGAAAGAGTAGGTTGGACAGATAAGAGACATTCCAGGTGAGAGCAGTTTCATAAAATCTAAGAACAAAGGAGACTACCTAGGAGGAGATGGTGGTTAACAGTGTCAAATGAAGCAGATAGGTTAAGGACTGGGGCTTCGGGGAAAAAGAATCTAATTTGGCAGTTAAGAAATATTGATAACTGTGGAGAGAGGAGTATCCGTGGAGTGATAAGATTGGAAGTCAGATTGCAAAGCATTGAGGAATGGATGAGAGGAGATAAAATCAAAACAAATATACATAGCTCTTCTTACCAGTTTGGTTAAGGAAAGGAAGAAAAAGAAATTTTGATTTTAGAGGATTTTTTGTATCCAGATTTTCATTTTGTTTTTTTTTTGTTGCCACAAAAAATGGTGCTATGGTTCATTTTTGCATATTAAAATTTAGTGACTATCCTTGTATAATTTCAAATTGTTTCCCAAAATATTTGCATCAATTCACAATATCACTCACAAAGAGTTAGCATACCTTCACCAATGCAGTTTCTCCAAAACTGATTCTTTCAGATTTATAAAAAATCTTCACTAATTTGAGGAGCATGAGTTGAATCTTCAGATTCTATATAATTACATTTTATAACAAAAATGATAAGTTTTGAAGGATATGTGGGAAAATTGGGATACACTAATGCACTGTTGGTGGAGTTGTGAACTGATCTAATGATTCTGGAGAACAGTTTTAACTATACCAAAATAAAAATAAAACTGTGCATACCCTATGATCCAGCAATACCACTATATCCCAAACTGATAAAAAAAAGTGGAAAAGGACCTATTTGAACAAAAGTATTTATAGCAGCTTTTTTTGTGGTGGCAAAGAATTGGAAATTTAGGGCATGCTCATCAATTGGGGAATCAGCTGAAAAGTTGTTATATGTGATTGTAACGGAATACTATTGTGCTATAAGAAATGATAAGCCAGATGATTTCAAAAAACCTGGAAAAACTTACATGAACTGATGCAAAGTGAAGTGAGCAGAACCAGAACATTGTATACAGTAATTGCAATGTTGTACAGTAATGCACAGTGAACAACTGTGAATGACTTAGCTATTCTCATCAATACAATGATCCAAGACAATTTCAAAGCACTCATGATGAAAAATGCTAACCATCTGCAGAGAAGGAACTTATGGAGTCTCAATGCAGATCAAAGCATGTTTTTTCTCACTTTATTTTTTTCATGTTTTTTCTTTTGTTCTGTGTTTTCTTTCACAACATGACTAATATGGAAATATGTTTTACAGGATTGTACATGTATAACATATCAAATTGCTTACCTTCTCAGAGAGAGGAAAGGAAAGGGAGAGAATTTGGAGCACAAAATTCTTTTAAAAGAATGTTAAAAATTGTTTTCACATGCAATGGGAAAAATAAAATATTATTAAAAATAAATTTGACTTGGTTCTCTAGATAATCTCCTTAATTTCCTATTTCTTTTCTCATTTTAGCTGCATTAGTTTTATTTCTAAAAAAAATACTTTTGAATTTTCTGTAATAAAACTGTCTATTTTACCTCCTGTGAACCTTTCTATCTCTTGTTTGGTCATAAACTCCTCACCTTTTCATACATCTGACAAGTTATTTCTTCCATGCTCCTCTACTTTGCTTATGATGTGATCCTTTATGTCTAAATCATGTATTCATCATGATATTGTCTTAGTATAACATGTCAGATGTTTGTCTACACCTAGTTTCTGGCATGCTCCTTTCCTCTTTTCTTAAAAGTTTTTGCTGAATAGTGAATTTTTGCCCCAATGGCTATGATCTTTAGGTTTATCAAACACTTGACTACTGTACTTGTTTGCTTTTTATTATATACCTAATCAATTCCTCTGATCAACCTTACTATTTCTTACCTAGTACCAAATTATTTAGATGATTATAGCTTTGCAGCATAGCTTGAGATCTGGCATTGCCAGGCTCAATTTCTTTTCATTCCCTCTTTTTCCCTTTATGTTCTTGACCTTTGTTTCTCAAGGCAAATTTTGTTATTTTTGTAGCTCTGTAGAGTAATCCTTTGATAGTTTGATTGCCATGGCATTGAATAAGTAAATTAACTTAGGCAATACTATTATTATTATTATTATTATTTATTTTTACTATATTGGCTTTATGTACACACAATCAATGAATATTTATGAAATTTTTAGATTCATCTTTAAATGTTGGGTATTTTGTAATTTTGTGTGTCTTGGCAGGTTGACTTCCAATTGTTCTATACTTTCTGTAGTTATTTTAAATGGGATTTCTCTTTCTATATCTTCTTGCTGGATTTTATTGGTAATACACAGAAATAATGATCTTCATGTTTATTTTATATCCTGAAACTCTGCTAAATTTGTTAATCATTTCAATTATGTGTTTCAGTTGACTACTGTTCTGTAAATAAACCATCATATCATCTGCAAAAACATGATAATTTTATTTCCTTTTTGTCTGTTCTTATTCTTTCAACTACTTTTTCTTATGTTATTGCTATAGTTAGCATTTCTGGCACTGTACAGAATAATAAAGGTGATAATTGACATCTTTACTTTATACCTGATCTGACTGGAAAGACTTCTAGCTTATCCCTGT